AGACCGCCATATTATCAATAATAATCTTAACAAGCATCGTTTATAATATTTGACGATAGATAAATCGATAATTGATCATTGATCGTGTGCAGATTCGACAGACAACAAGTTCTTTTATCGGAAATTGGCTCGAAAAGTATCGCGATTAGTTGCAGAGAGAGTTTATACAACGTATTAATTCCGCGACGTCGAAAGGATATCGAGTCGCGAATAAAAACGGTGACCTCCTTTTCCACGTGTAAAACACGAAGCGAGCGATTTATCGTTTTCTTTCTTTTTTTTTTTTTTTTTGTATTTTATCGTTCTATTTCGAACGATATTGTATTTTCACTCGTCTAGCTATCGCGCGATTAATGGCATAAAAGAAATTTTCGAAGGCGCAACACGGTTCAGTAATATATATCTATTTCGAAGGATCTTTGCGCTCTTTATCAAACTTTAATCCATACGGATTTCACGCGAAGAATTATCCCTCGTTAAAATGATTTATTATCTTACCCTCGTCGCGGAGAAAAGTCGAGGAATCATTTTGATTTCGATTTAGATTATAGCCAAGCCTGTTTGATATTATAAATTCTCTCTAATATTTGATTTTTATTCTCTATTTAAATTATTCTTAATTATTATTATTATCAGTCGTATAATCACGAATTAAATGCGATTAAATAAATTTCGGAATTACGATCAAAGTCTCTTCCCCGAAAGTCAAGAGATAGAGACAGGAAAATAATGTAATCATATGATGATGTGTCTTGTGGGAAACATAAATTACCGATATTCAATTCTTGATAAGAAATAATCGATATCTAATCGAGGATGAGTTGCACTTGTTATACAGAAAATTCATTACATCCTACATAAATCGATAATGTTAAAATGGAGCTAGAACAGAAAGATAAATTATTTTTAATGATCACACGTTCATGTATATATTCGCCATTTGTCACGATTTAAGGATTTGGAATAGGTTCTGAATTCTCACGATTTGTCCTCGAATTCGCTATTACGGCCACTTAAGAAAAATTCAATGGCAAATAGAAGTTAATTTATCTTTCTACTTAATCCAACCGAGAATTTCGTTTTACAGTAATCCATTATTGCAGTAGTGTTTGTAAATGTGACTAATTCAGGAGCTTATCGTCATTCTTTCATTCGATTTGTTTGCTTTTAAACACAAATGCACGTGAATGATCGCTCTGTAACTCGGCAATTCGAACTTCGGCATGGATCGTAAAACTTCGGAAGAGATCGGATCAGATATACTTTCGTATCGTTCCGTATTTCACTTCGGCAATAATCGGGCACGGTTAAAAACGTTAATAACTAGATTTCGAGGTTACACAATTCAATTAGTTATTTAAAATATATCTTAAATCAATTTTATTTTTTTTTTTTTTTTTTTTTAGTTTTTAGATCGAATCTAATATGTTGGAGCATAAATTGATCTTAAATGCGAACTTATTGATATTTGACGTTGAAATATAGTAATGCATGGTTTGGGCACCTTTAATGGAATCATATTTTGTCCAGATTATAGCTATTACTTGCAATATTAAGGTATTTCTAAGGTTTTTAGTATCGTGGTTGAAAGCTTAAAACGTAAGCAATACCTTTAAATGGTTTTTTGCCATTAGTGTGAAATATCCGACCTATATGTACGTGGTGTGACTACGTGGGATTAAGTTAAAAAGTTATTATAGTAAATTTTCAAAAAATTTGAAGATTATTGGAAATTAGAAAAATTAATACGAAACAGATTGAAAATTGAATTATATTCCATGTTTTAACTGCAATACTATTTTTTTCTATCAGTTTCAAGATATATAGATCGAGAAATTTGATCGATTATGAATAAAAATAAATAATATTAAAGTAATAAAAGGAAGTCTATCGGACGAAGACAAAAAGTTTTCGTAATTTACTTTCTCTTTACCTTTGTCAGTATTATTTGTAAAGTGCTATTCCATCTTTCCACAATCGCAGCTCTTCGTGAAACATCTTTCTCGTTTATTATTAAAGGCTTTCAAACGAATCGCATTTCTCGTCGCTCAAAAATTTATTAATAAGCTACGCTTTAACGAAAATACTATTGAAATCGCTATTAAAATAAATATTTATCGATCATATTTCGTAGTTTAAATATAGTAGATCATTATGTTAATAAGTCACGTGAAGCTAACGAACATAAGTTATACATAGTCATAACGTGCATTAGGATATTAGAGGTCTCGTTATGCTCGAAGTGCCTCACTGATCACCGTTAGTATGCAAATCGCATGCCTCACGTTAGCATACGTGAGCATATATAAGAACAACAATAACTCTGACTTTGAAATACAATACTCATTAATATTCAAATGCATCCTTTTACCCCGATTAATTCGAATTTGACTTTGAGAAACTAATCATAATTTACTATACTTGTTATCATTTTTTTTTTTTTACTTCTTTCAATCCATCCTTCTCAGAATAAAATATATTATGGATAAAATATATTATAACTCGATCCAAGGGAGGATTTCAACAGCCATGAAAATCTTCGACACGTGCGTTATTCTTGTCAACGATCGGTCGCATAACTCTTCGAATTTGGTCGATAATTGACAACAATTTACACAGGGATTGGCGCAACCCGAATACGATAACCCTATTTATTTGCCGATATTCGAGCATGGCAGTGGCGTAAATCAATCAAAAGAGAAAAAATAGGCGACAAAAGGAGGAGAGCTTTCGTGTCGTTCTTTCTCGACAAATAATGTTGTAAATTGGATACGTGGCCATCGTCGAAATGTAAATTCGACACAGCGCATTCTTTCGAGGATTAAAGCGTTCGAAATAAGCGAGCTCGTTAATTAAGAAATTTCGAATGGATTCGTTTCGATTTTCCAGGTGGAACAGCCAAGGCGAAATTGTTGTTAATTAATTAATTAATTGTTGTTAATTGACCGTCAACTCTCATGAGTGGCTCTGGGAAAAAAGGCAGAGGATTCCTAAGACGAGGCTGAAAAAGAAGTAACCAGACACCTTTCCTAATTAGAGAAAACGATACTTGGTTAGTGGACGAATGGTTTCGCTGGGACGACGAATAAATAAGATGGATTTAAAGTGAGGAGAAAATTCGTGTCGAGCTGAAGGATCAATGGCGAGTGATTTGCTTGGATTTTTTCTTTTTTTCCAACAAAGGCATTAATTATCTCGAAAAAATAAGCATAAAAAAATTTTGAATGCTTTATGCACGAGAACTTGAAAATCATCTGTTGCAAAAAATATGAATTTTTGTATTAAATTTATGGTAAAAAAAAAAAGAAAAAAAAACAATCGGAGAATTAATTAATAGTTGTTCATAAACAATATAATTTGGCCAACAATACACGCGACTCGCATTATTCGCGCAAATTCTAATTACACAGTGAATTTAGAAAACAAATCCAATTTCATCGAGGTTGTACCGTAGAGAGCCGTATAATAATCCGTTGATAACGATTTAATCATGGTTCAACGTGTATCTACGCGAAGTAAATAAGCTATTAAATTTCCATAATCGCATCGATGGCTGATCCGTTGCGATCCGTAAACGCGTAACGCGTCGTTCCATCAAGGAATGCACGTAGATTTACTTTTTACACGAACGATTCTATTGATATTCAAACTTTGGTGCCTCGAATGAATAAAACATCATCGTCGAATGGTATTGGAAAATCCCAGGAGAGTGATAATAAATCTGTCCGTTTAAAATTCGTAAGTATTATTTGTACCAAATTTATAAGCAGTCGTTTTAAAAAAAAAATTTTACCCGATTCGAAACGTTCACCAAATTTTTGTAACACGCATTTTCTATGTACGCAACGATATATATATTCTTTCTTTTAACGAAAGATAGACAAAGAGAGTAGAATAGTTTCTTTTTCTTCTTCCATTCTATTCTACCCATATTCGAATAAAACATCGAACATCGAACATTTTTCCATCCTCCTCATTATGCTCATATATTTGTTTTTTTTTTTTTTTTATATTTACGATGAATACAAAAAATTGTAGGTACAGAATTGTGCACGCCCGTATAGAATGAACGAGCGAACAAACGAAATCGAGTTTGGCGCTTTTAAATTTTAGCACCGATGAACGAGAAAGTGTAAACCCTGAGAGCCCCCAGTTCATTTTTCACGTCGATATATCGCGCGAATCTCTCTGCCTATATTCATCAAGCCCGCAATTGGATTCCTTCATGAATTCTCTATCGATCGAATGCCAATGCCTCGTTCGTCCGGTTTCATTTGAAATGCGCCTTTTCTTTTCCCTCTCACTCTCTCTCTCTCTCTCTCTCCATTCTCGAATAGAAAATGTTCGTTTCATCGGGTAATCGAGATTAATGGGGGGGGGGGGTTACGGATCGAGCGTAACATGAGGGGGGGGGGCGTATGCAGCGAATGTTAATTAATCTTATACTCTTGTGCAACTTTGAAATTCGTCTTCCACGCGGCAGGCGTCCACGGAATTGCGACGTTGATTCAGGGAAGAAGAGATAGACTCGATGAATCTTTGGCGCGTCGTGACTACGCGCGTCAGACAATGAAAATTGAGATTGGAATTCCGGCGACGACGAGGAGCGAGAAACTGAGAAATTTCGAGGATTAGATATCGTGGATGGTTAAGTTGCCGAGATCAAATGAGACAATGAGTTGGGAATTTTTCACTCGATCCCTTCCCTGTTCGCCTCGACATATAACATTGTATGTGGACGTGGTAAATTAAATTGAATTATATAACCGTACACGTCGATTAAAATGCAAAAAATTTTGTGAATATGTTTCTCCTTTGATTTGATTCGAAACTTTTTGTCCTAAAAAAAAAAAAAGTAAATATTTTTTCACGGTTGATTAATATTCGCGAAATGTTCGACCGGTATTTTTACGATACATCTGGGGGGAGGGGGGGGGGGGAAAGGGAACGCGTGTAAGAGAGAAAGAGGAATTAGCGAAGCTTGATTGAATGCAACGTACCTTTTAATATCTCCTCTTTGCTGCAGGAAAGCATTTTTCCAATGATCTCTCTCGGTTGTCGTATTCATTAATATCGAGCTCAGTTTTGTTCTCGCTTGTGCAGTCTCGACGTTAAGCTTCCGAAGCTCTAAAAGAAAATCACCGTTAGTTTCTCATCGTTTTCATTTCAACGTGGTTTATTCATTTCACATGCTACGCGGTTTCTTTCCAGTCCAAATTACAAATTTTTCATGAAAACTTAAAAATTAAATCGCATCTCGTTAATATCTTGTGCATTTCGTGATATATTCGAAATTTATATTCAATAATTTAATTTGTAATTTTAATCCAAAGATGTGCCCACTCAATATCCTATCCTACATTATATCCTCGATTCAATTTTTCTTTTAATAAAATTTATAAGGGGCTTTAAAAGGAACGCAAAAAAGGAAAGTTCTTGTTTTGCATAATTTAAGGAGGATTTAAATGAGATTTGGAAAGAAATGTCATATGTAGTAAAAAGTCATTTTTTTTTTGGTTATATCGAAATATCAAATACGTTCAAAGTGAGTACACGACGAACGGACGAATCGGATTGAATTTCATAAATTTTCGAAGAACGCATCCTTTGCGGAGAATAATTCGATCGAATCAATTTGATTATGCTTCATAGAATTCGACTGTTCTATTTAGTGTTAACGAGCTATGTAGAATTTCCGGAATGTTCTTTAACGCCACTTGATACGTATTTCCCATGTGTCCTCCATTATTCACTTTATGCTAACAATGTGAAAAGGATAATGGGAAGATGAGGGGAATATTTTGCCTCGGTTGAAATCGTGCGAAGACTTTTATATCGTCTCTTCAAGGAATAAAATTTCATTTCGTTCATAAATTTTATTTTACAAATTATCCGCTATCACTTTCAATGAAAAATGTTCGTCAAACAAGAGATTCCTTGATCGAGCATAAAAAATTCAATATTCGTAAATGAAAAATTCAAATACTTTTAATATTGCGTATATTTTGCATGTTTCATATAAGCGACATGAGGATATTCAATTGTAGATAAAACAGTTTAAAACAAATGAACGTAGTTTAAAGGAGTGATTTTTCAAAAGATATCTTTTAAATTGTCTTTTTGTAATTGACAATTAAAAAATATCTACTAAAATTCTCTGAGAAAACTAGATTAAAAACGTATTAAAATTAGCGAAACTTTGAATTGCTGTAATTTCGAAGATAATAACTTCCGGTATATGAGTGAAAGACCGTTAGAAGCATGGAAACTTTTCTTAAAACGCTTTAAAAAGCTTTTTCGTTCATGTCGTTACGACTTCCGAGATATCATCGTGAAAAGAAAAGATAATTTTTAAATATATATCTTGAATAGAATTAAATCCTATTAAAATTAGAAGAAACTTTGAACCGCTATAATTTCGAAGATATTAATTTCCGGTCAACGAATGAACGATCGTTAAAAAGAAGAGATTTTGCTTTTTAAAACGCTTTTTCATTTATTTCGATACAACTTTCGGTTCCCGAGATATCATCGTGTAAAGAGAAGAGTAATTTTTAATTTTTTACCATTTCCATCCTTGTTCCAAATTTCAGATAAATGAAAAATATATGCGATATGGAAAGATTTTAGTATTTTCAAAAAAAAATGTAAATCACCGAATCTATTTATAAATTAGACACCATGGAGATTTTGAATTCTTATATCTTAACAACTAATCGAGATATCGAGAGATAAAACAAGAAGTGATTTCAATGCCGTACTTTTTCTCCGTACATTTTCTGAATGTGCTTTAATGAAATTTGCATAAAAATCCGCAATCTAGTTATGTAACTTTAAGTCTGAAAATTTTAATCATATATTTGAAATCAAATACCGTACTTTGAAACACGATGATCAAAGCTCTATCCATTTTACCTATCTATCTAATATCTTAATAATCCTTACTATAATTAGATCCTGCAACTTCACCGACATCGTAATCGATCTCAACGCTACGATCTCATCGCTAATGATTGAAATTGAGTTGCGCGATTCAATCGAATTGGAAATTGACTTGGACATCGTTGGAAATTGGAGATTCACGAATAATTATCAATAATCAAGTATTAATTTACTTTTACTTTATCATTATGTTTCGTACGTAAGCTTTACAATACTCGAGTTTAATTTCGACGATCAATTTTTTTAAATTATAACGATACAACACGCCAGAGTTAAAGAGGTGAATTGAACTTTTTTCCCACTTTTTACGAGAGTAAAATTTATTAAAACTCACCTTCGTATTCAACTTTCATACGATTGAACTCAACTTCTTGGCGAGCCTGCGATTGCAAGTTGATTTCGAAAGCTCGCTCGAGCTGGAAAAACTTGCCGCTCAGTTCGTGAAGATTCCGACGCAATTCCGAGGCTTCCGATTCCCTTCGTTGCAATTGTTCCTCGAGATATCGTTGCCGCGAGTCCATCCTTTCAGTAATTACTTTAATTAAGTCACCACTTCAGCCTGATCCAGTACGAACAGACACCGACTATTAAACCGAGAAAACGTTCTTTCCTAAGTTTAAAAAGAAAACTTATTCCTTCTCTCGGAAAATTGTACGGCGTTCACAGGTTTCACAGGTTAAAATTCAACGAGGCAATATTAGCCTAGATTCGTACGTATCGTCTTTACTCACACACGTCGTGTCAAATTCGTGAAACAGCAAATACGCGTTATAATGGAAACTCGAGAATAATCGTTGATTTTCCAATCCGATTGACATATTCTTCTAGAATACGATCGAACGCGGTGTCGCAGGGGATCGATTCGCCTTGAAGTTGGGCACAAGCGCTCGAGCCAATCGACGCGAGCAATCGATTAGAAAGAGGCAAACGCGAGTTCGATGGATCAACGTTCAGTTGCGAACGACCATTCCAGCCGAGCGCTCGGCGATTTTACGCCAATTATACCTTCGTACGGAACGAATATCTTTTCGCGAATATCGCGAAAGTAATCCGAAGTAATTTCCATTATTGTATATTCTTATCGCGTATGCACGTATTCCGTGATTAAAATATTCCGATCGGATAAGAAAATTTCCTTTCTCATCTCTTCCATTTATTTCAAAGTTGGATTAGCATAAATTCATTTTTTTTACATTACCAATCTTGAACGTTTTATTAATATTACGTTATTCGTGTATGGTAGATAATTAGATAGAATATAATAAGGCTTTTTGTTCTTCTACACAAGTGTCTCTGTAGATCACGAAAAGAAAGTGATAATTTTCCTCGTACATTCTTCGCGCCAAAGAGAGAGAACAAATGAACAAACAGCGATCTCTCTTTTTATGATCGCAAAGAAAGAATATCAGGCGTGATTATAAAATTGAAAATATTTGAAGGGAGTGGGCGAGGAGGACGAACTCATTATCACGATATCCCATTTGCGAACGCGGGATGGAACGCGGACGGAAATGATCTTCTATGTTTCACGCTAATGACTGCGCCATTCTTATTTTTCTGCGTCGGGTCGACGTCCTCGAGCTTGTTCTCGTTATGAAATATGCGCCACCGTTACGAGCACACGGCCACCGCGAAAAGGACAGAAAACCGATACAGCGTCGTGTCACGCACCGGCGTTAATCCTTGTAAGTCGTCTACATGCTGGATTTTTTTTTCCTTTTTTTTTTCTTTTTTTTAATTCTATTTCCGACCATCTAACACGAACCTTCCATTCATTTATTCCTCTTTCCCTCCTTGAAAAAATGAATTTTTCATTCCATCTCTTGTATCCACACAGCGAAAAATTTAAAAAATTATTCGATTTGATTTTTCTCCATCGTCCTTAGAAATAAATTTCCCGAACTTTAAGATCTAACACGATCTTTGCTCCAGTGAGTCATCAACGTACAGATTTGGATATCTTTAATTTACGCCATAGCACTATCTCGATAAGAAAATTTAAACAGCGAACGACGTTTTTCGTTCTTGATATAAAATTCTGTTACGAAATTTCCTTCTGCACGATTTGGATTTATAGCGCGCAATAATATCTCGATGCGAGATTGAGATTATATCTTGGTGCAATATCCCGCGATAATGTTCCTGTAAATTTTCTCCCCCCTCTTTTTTTATTATTTTTTATAGCCAAGTCAGTCGTTTATCAAAGATTTGCGAACGTTGTCGGTGGAGAACGATGGGAGATGATAATTGGACGAATATTTCACTACGAAACGATCGACGTTACGATGTTGAGAAACAATACGAGCAACCTGTCCAATATTATTCGGTTGTTCGGAAAGTAATTTCGTTTTTTTTCGTGACAATGAAACACCGAGTTGGTTTCACGCGATCGCGAATAGTCGAATTCGATCTCATAGCAATTTCTCGAGTTGTTATTCGTCGGTTTGCTTCGATCTGTGCCTTTATTTTGTCTTTTAGAACGTAGAAATTGTCGGAACGAAATTTTGAAAACCAATTTCGATACATGTTGATACACTTTTTCTATAGACTTCGCGTAACTTTTTTCTCGTCTGAACAGCATTCTTATCTTTTCGATAATAAAAAAGTAAAATATGCCGAAAATGCTCCTCTTACATCTTTGTTATCACGCACGAAAAACACAATCACGCACAGAATCAAACGAATTTTTCTTATAAATAAATCACGAAATGCCAACTCTCGAAATATATAAATAACAGCACGTTTAGACTGAAGTTGGCTGGATAAACGTTCGACTAGCGACGCTCGTGTGAAAAAACGAAATTATTTTCCGAACAAAGAGAATATAATATTCGACAAATTCATGGTGTTCGAAAATTTGGTTTCGACCAAGAGGTCGACCAAGAGGAAAATTGCCGTTTAGATTTAAATTAAAATTACATCCTCCCTCTGGGCATTGAATTCTTTTTTCTCTCAAAATATTTCCCTATCAAAGGTGCACGAATTAGATTTAACGAATCTTTCGATTTCGATTTTCACCGTAAGAAAAATTCCACTTCGATGGAAGTAACGCATTTGAATAATGCCTTTGTGAGATAGAGGTAGCGAAAAGCCGAAGGTTGAAAGGGCGAACAATTTTGTTAGGGCGTAGCCAGCGAATTCTTTGTTCGGTCTCTTGACTCGATGGTTCATTCTTTCACGCCGAGTCTTCTTACCCGTCAGCCATTTCTCCACACTTTCTCCCTTCGAATATTTCGGGATGCAATTCTTTAAACCTTAATGAGGATTCGAACGAACGATAAATTTAACCGAGCGATTTTAATGGTCGATCTTCGCTCGAATTAGATTTATCGCGTTGCAACGAGATTCCAATTCGGTCATTTAACACAATTTTAAATATTTAGAAACGAATACCTACCTTCAACTTAGTGTTGAATTTTCCCAACAATTTACGCAACATTTTCCTCTCTATCCAATTTCTATCTCCGACGTTCCATTTTTCCTCTCCTTCTGTTTCACAGAAACAGGACAACAAACACCCATTCTCCATCCTTCCACCTCATTCTACCCGTGTCTCTCCGCCGTCGTTAAGTTATTTCGCTCTCGAGGAAAGTCGTGTCGTATCGATGCCCACGCCCACGCTCCTATGGAGAGAACGTGCTCGATGAAAAATTTAACCGTGCTAACCTAACCCGGATCTCGCTTTGGGGGATCCCGAGTTTTGGAAGAGCCGACGAGGAACAGCATACGATCCCCGTATTTCCCGGCTATTGTTCCGTTTAATCGACAGGAAATAACCGCGGAATACAACCCGTCAATTCCACGCCAGGAAAAAAACGAGGGAGAGAGGAAATGTTCTTTTCCCGCGAAAATCGTCCTCCTCCAAACTGGCGACGGATCGTTGTCCTCCTTTCGAGAGCAATTAATTAACGAGGAGCGGAAGAGCCACTTTTTTTCTCCTCCTTCCCTCTTTTCTTCCCACGACGAGGAAACGACATTGCCATCGGTCGGTACAAACGATCGATGGAGAACAAACGTCTCTATCGAACGTGATCCACGCCAATTATTGTGTACGTCTGATGAAAATTACAACGACCAATTATGAGCGGACAAGATGATACCGGATACAGAGCGGTTCTCGTCATTTTGTAATTATTTCCACGTGACGCTACGTATCGATGAAACATCTATATCGATAGTGTTTCTTATTAATTATTAAACGAGTGATCAAAATAAATGAGCTCAGTCTCGAGTGAGTTAAAATTTTAAACGAGTGAAATCGAAGTATTTCTATTTCTTATTTATTATATATATATTATAAATAATATAATATTATATATATTATTTATTATATATAATTTTTTTAGTATTATATTTTTTTCCGAATTTTTATCGGAAAGGAAAAGAAGATTTTTGGACGAGGATCGAAACATTTTCTCGCTTCGAGAAATATAGAGTGACGAATATAGAGATTCCAATTGTATTTTCGAACGTTCGAAATCGAATCGATTGGTTACTTCGTTGACCATGTCTCGTGGTCATTAATCTTATTCTTCCATTAAGTTTTTATGGGCTCGTGTTTTTTTTCTATCAATAGGTGTAAAATCTTTTTTTTAGATTTTTCAGATTTCGATCATTAATCTTAATTTTATCTTACTTTCGTCGATCGATTATTCCATTTAATTCGTACCAAACTTGTCCTCCTCCTCCTCTTTTCTTTTTCTGATCCCGTTGAGCTCGTATCAGGAAATAGATTCGTTCGTTAAATCGCGTCCTAAGGATCGAATCGTTCTCGATACAGTATAAGCCGGTTGAAATTGAGGAGGAGCTAAAAATCGTAGTATCGTTTCTTACTCGCGAATTTATAGTTACGACGAAGCATCGAATCGAATGCTTGACTTATCGAAAGGAACCGCGAGATGCGAAACAATAATAACTCGAGTAAACCAAAGATTTAGAGCCTGTAAAATTAAGTTTTTACGATCACCGTCCTCCTCTCTTATTTTCAATTTTATTCCTCCCCCTATTAACCGAATTACTTGAAACTCATTTATGCGATTTTTATGACAGAAATATTTTATATAACCGTTCCCAGCATTTTTATACATCTTAATAATATCGTTAACAGTTTTAACGGAGTTAAAATATCATCCTTTCGATCTCTAATCTGTCGACAATCGATCGACGAGTCGTTTCTCGAATGGTTGAACAATTTACTTTCCGAATCGTGGTACAGAAACAAGTTATTTCGATTAAAACGTTTAGCTAGAGTTAATTACTTCGACCGATCATCCTCTGGATTTAGCAGGTGCGACTACGTAGCCGCTTCCGCACGCGTGGAAAAACTTGCTCCACTTGGAGGAAGAATATCATCAGGAGAATGTCTTTAACCGATTGGTGCGCGAGTTTCGTTTCGATTCATCCAATAATTCAACGCGTGATTTCCTGCTCCTGTTGTTACAATGTCAAACAGCCCCGAGCAACAGTCGCGTAATTAACATGGAAAATTATCCGTGGCTTTGATCAAGTTGCACGCGCTCGTGTTCCTGTGATTATTTGCTGCGCTCGACGTTGCATAAAATTGAATGGCAGCGAACGAATTCGAAATGCGATGCGATCGATCTCGGTAATGGAGTTTAACTAAACAAAAATCTTGTACGAATTATTGTTATAACGAAGGATAAATGATAAAAAGAATCGTAATTTGCAAATCTTTGGTTAAAATTTATCGTTTTCGAGTTTTATTGAATAACAGTTTGTTAAGGTAAAGTAAATTAAGAATACCGTCTCTGGTTAATAAATGTGAGATTAAATAATTTCAAGTCCTGAAACTTTTTTCTTC